GTGTGTGTGTGTGTGTGTGTGTGTGTGTGTGTATGCCTATTGGCTGTTTCAGGCATTTGATACGCCAATGGTTCCCTCTTCCTGCCCATCAAAAGCTGCGGCTGCGTTTGAAATGAGCTGTTAATGTGCAAAGCCTGAGAGGCTCTTAAGCAATTGCCCGAATCGCTTTAAATAAAACTTGTTTTTGCAGCAAATCTACCAACACTCGTTTCAACGTATACAAAATAAACAGCAGCAATAAAAAGCTCGCAGTAATGTGTGCCAAATACGTAGGCATACAGATACAGATACTCGCACTCACATCCTACTCGCAAATAGCACGCACTGGGTGCGAAAACTTTGCAATGCGTGCGAACCGAAGCATTCCTTTTCAGGCCCTAAACTCCTCGACTCATACCTTTGGTAGCTTCTCATATCCCCCCTTCTTCGTCTTCCCCTCCCCACATAGCCCCTACACATTATATCGCCGTTTTTTGGGCGACTTTGTCTTGTTTCGTTTGTTTGCCTGCTGCCATCATTACATGGCGCTCATTGCGCATACGACGCGTGTGCCCGTGTCTTTGCCGCGCTCTCATACCATACGAGGTGACAACGTGGCAATAAAAAGCCAGTGAAAGACAGCAAAAAATGAGGCAAGAAACATGAAAAAACGACCAGCACGAGAACACAAAAAACTGAATCAGTAGGTTTACACATTTTTCATGCAAGGGTTGCCTTTGTCGCTTCGCTTCTTTTGTCGCTTTTATTGCTCAAAACACTGCACCTGCTCACGTTTTTCTGCTTTTTCTTTATTGTTATATTATTGTTATTTAATGCCAACTTTAGTGGCAACACACACACACATACCACAAACACAATTTTTACACACTGATAAATACACAAGCACAGCTTAGGTTTTTCATTTTGTGTGTGTGTGTGTTTTTTTTGCAGTTCCCATTCGTACGTGTGTGGGTTCGCCTCACTTGATAAAGTCAACCCGTCTGGGTGGCTATGGCGGCGGCTATGGCTGCAGCTACCCAACTAGTCAGTCAGTTCGTCAGCTAGTCAGTTAGTTGTTTGTCATACGGCCCTCGTCATTAGTTGTTGCACATTTCTTACTTTGTTTATTAAAAAATTTAAATTGTGTGCTTTGTGTTGGTTTTCGTCATTCATTCACCAGGGAAAAGAATCTCAAGTTTCGTTGCTTGTGCACGTAGTATGTAGGTTGTGTTCTTGCCATTGCTGTTGTTGTTGTTGCTGCTGTTGTTGTTGTTGCTGCTGCTGCTGCTGCTGCTGTTTCTGTTCTCGTTTTGTTGACAAGAAACGTTTTGTATTGCTTTTTAATGCATTCCAAGTTGTACAAAACGGAACTGAATGTTACACTGTATATTATTTTATTCTTCTCTTTGCACTTACTAGTAGCTAATTTAGAAAATACCAAACAGTGTTTTAAACGGTTGTTTGTTTTAGCCTAGTATTAAAATATTGTTAAAGCTGATACATATCTATATACTTGGGGATATTACAAGTAATACCCATTAGCAGGCAGGTATTAATTGTAAATACCATGTCTATTTGAACCAACTTTATTGGAATTTTCATCTTTGTTTTATTAAAATTAATTGCCTCACTGCAAAAGAGATTCGCGCGACTACTCAATGTTTATTCTGTAATGCTATTTCCTTTCTGTGACAAGGATTGAATGAATGCCGAATGTATTTCTGCTTCGCTTTTCCTGACTGAAGCACTGCAATCGCCCATTTATTAAATTTAACCAGACATCTGAACCACTGATTACTGAAGGAACTAACACCACGCAGCTCTCATATAGTACGTGTTTCGATACAAAGCGCCAAAAACTTTCGCCATAAGTGACATTCGCCAGAAAATATATTTGAATCTGAATTTGTGATGACATTGAAACGATAGCGCTCCTAAGTTTTAGCTTGATTTAGACTGAACATTATTGTACAGAAATAAATAAGCAATTATATACATTTGCAGTTTTGTTCTCCCAGAAACAACTACTCGATAGTGATATTTTAGCTGATTTTAGCGATAAGTTTTCAGAGTCAAATTTTTACATTTCTTAAGCAAAATTTACATATTAGTTTCAACAAGAAAGGAATGCTAAAGTCGAGCAGGCTCAACTCTTAAATACCCTGCACCACTCCACAAAAAAAGAAATTAAATAAAATTAATTAATTAAATTTAATTTAATTAATTAACTAAGTTAAATATAAAATATTCCATACATGCATACATACATTTACATTTACAAGTACATCAGAATCGTGTCTATGCGTGTTTGTGAACTTGTGCATATGTATGTATCTGTGCCTTGGGCCTGGTTATATGGCTATAACTTTCTTTCTGATCAACCTATTATAATGAAACTTGGTATACGGATATATAATCATTAACTGGATGTGTCTACCAAATTTCAAACTTCCAAGAATTACGGGAGTTATAGAAAATCACGAATAGGCGGGGAGTGGGGGGGTACATCGGGAAAAATGAACAAACACGTCCTTTCTCGGGCTCAGGAGAATCTAGATATCAAGTTTAGTTATTATAGCTCTTCTGAGATCCTTGCGTTAATACAGACAGACAGACGGACAGACGGACATGGCTATATCGACTCGGCTTGTCATGCTGATCAAGAATATATATACTTTGTGGGGTCTGCCACGCCTCCTTCTGCGTGTTCCATGTACACTCGCACAAAACTAATATAACCTTGTACCCTTTGGGTACAGGGTATGAAAATTACAGATGTAAACGTTTGGTGTGAAAACATATACAGTGAAAACTCCCTTAACGGACACCTCTTTTAACCGGACACCCCTCTTAGGCGGACACTTTTTCTAGAACATTCCTTCTGGTGTACTTTTTAGAGCAAGTTCGCCTCTCTTGTGCGGACACTCTCTTGATCGGACGCGAACGCTATTTTTCGAGAAATTCGAACTAAAGCCTCTCTTGGCTGGACGCGAACCTCGTGTTAACGGACGCTGACATGCATAAACACATCAAATTTGGCCGGACGCGTACCGTTTAGTAATGTAGTAAAATAAATGTTTTGTTATTTATATTCAGGAATGATTTCAAAGGAAAAATATTTTAATTTTAAAATAATTTGCAAGAGAAGTGAATATCTGTTTTCTTCTACTATGGCTGAAGCCAAGCACTGAACTTCTGAATGGCGCACATTTACTCAAAAATTGGTTTTTAATGAAAAAATTTACAATAAGGTTCTAAATATTGTTGTGGGTTTATGTATAGCATATAAATGTAAAATTATTGAATGAATTTGGATTTTTATAAGTGATTGTTATATGTAAGTATTTACAAAATCCTAAAGTATTTTTTATATTGAATAAAGTCAATTTATTATAATCGCCTAAATAGAAAAACAATTAAAATAAGCAACAAATTGAAAAAATGTCTATATATCCTCTTAACCGGACAATCCCCTTAGCCGGACAAAAGTTGGTCGTCGGTGAGTGTCCGGCCAAGAGAGTTTCACTGTAATCTTTTATAATATTTGTTGAATTGTCAAATGAAACAGCTATGAATTGCTTATTCTGTTGGGTGTGCAGTGCTTACAATTAATTATTTCTTTCTCACGTTATGACTTTAACAATTAACAGTTTTACGAGCTAAATTTTCCCAGACAAACAAACAAATTGCAATTAACATCATCTAAGTAGAAAAAAACTTGCAAATCCAAAATTTAGATACCTACATACAATTATAAGGTATATTAGTACCGTATTAATAAATGCTAACTTTAGAAGGATAGATAAAAGATTGCAGTAAAACAGAATTAGAAGTTAGAATTCGATTCGATTTGCGAAAAGCATAGCAGTTTTGTAACTCAAGTTGAGTTTGTAACCGAAGCTATATTAATTTATAAAACTAACTTCAGATGATCTAAAGATGTCTTAAAATTGAAAGGTCACATAATACAAACTGAATTACAAGTAAATCAATAATTAAATAATTCACAATATTGAACATTAATTGAAGTGGTTTCAATCGACAATACTCGTAAAACCCCTTAAAATTCATTACTAAACTATAAAAAGAATCAACTACTCTTTAACAATGTTTTCACAAATTATTAGCTGTTTTTAATGCATATTCCTCATTATTTATTATTGGACTTGGGACTTACAATTGCTTTTGAATTCCTTGAAAAGTATTAAAAAACAATAAAACACATGTATACTGCACAAACAAATTCGTTGCCGATCTACAAAAATAACCGAGCGGGATGTGTTTTGAATTTCCATTCTAAATGTATGACCCATATGCCCCAACCACTTATGAATGGGCGATTTTCTCATCTGCATCGCCAAAGCGAAACTCAATGCTAAGCCAAACACCTCGACGGGCTTGTATTGCCACTCAACTGGATTGGCACTTGTTATCCCTGCTGTGCTGTGAGGACTGCCAAAGCGTCCCACGGTTCTGTCGACGTTCTGTACTCGTATTTGCTCGCCTGTCAGTTGCTGGCCGAAAAGACAAAAACCTGCTAAGTATCGACATTTGGGATTGTCGTGGGTGATTGTCAATTCTCGTTGATTGGCCATTGTGTTTGGCATAAAAAGCACTTCAACTAATTAGGCTGCTGTTGCGAGTCGTGAATGGGAAAAGGCACGTGCCTCCGAATAACAAAATGCTCGCAAAAATGCAAAACCATCTAAAATTGTTGTGTGCAGTTTTGTTCATTTCGCCGTCTACTAATTGACTCGCGAACTTCGTGAGATATTTGTCGAGAAGTCGGCGCCTGATTGTAATTAGTTGCAGCTGGTAATCAAATGCATGTTTCAATATAATTTCTTGGCGACTAACACTGTAGGCTGCCATTGAAAAGCTACGCAATGCCAGCAACTCAAACGCATTCGCACTCACAGACGCACTTGTAATGGAGCTGTAAGGCATTTGCATAGCTAAACGGCAATTAAAAAGTAGTGTATACTCGTATATAGACATATGGAGCTGAGAGTGAGACTCACCTGCATAAATCATCGCGAGCTGCGCGAGATTAGCGAGACGGAGGCGACGACTGCGACAAATTTGCTCAGATCCGATCAGATCAGAACTTTGCCGAATTGGTGGGAAATTCGGTCAAGTTGCTTATCTTGTTGCTGTTGTTGCACGGCTAGTTTTGTTTACAAACGAACGTACACGTCTTGTTAATACAACTGTTATTGTTGTTTTATTTTGTACGAGTATTTATTTAGATGCACTTCGAAGGCGTTAACCGACTTGACAGTTTGCTTTTATTTTGCTTTTCATTAAGTTTGTTGCCGCTGTTCGCTTTGTCTCTCTCTCCCTCTTTTTAATCGAACAGATTTTCGTTATGTTTTTGTTGCTGTTGTTGTTTCTGCTGTTATCTTTGGCAATTAATTTGTTGTCAGGCAATGAAAAATTGCCGCATTCGGTGTTAACTTTTATTTATTTCATACTACATTTTATATTCTATGAAGCATAGTGCATAAAATTTATAGTTTATTTGCGCTAGAAGTCGATTGAATTACTATACTTTTTGTTGTTGATTCTTTATTTGCTTACACACATAATTTACATTGTATTTGACAAATTGTGTGCACGATTTATGACTAAGCATTTATTTGCTGCAAATACATTTTCACTGAAATAACGAAAAACTAAACAACGGCCACACACAAATAACATTTGGATTACTGACATCATGTTTGCCAACCACACATCAAGCGTTTAACAAATAACAAATATGTTTTCAATTTTTGTCATCGGCTTCTATGTTTTGAATAAAGTCAACAATATCAGAGCTAGAGTCAAGCTTGGGCAGCAAATTAATTTGCTTTGCTTACAGTTGCTGCTTAGATACCCATATGAAGGTATTCCCATTCATTAAGTGTTGCTTACTTTTAGAACATCTGGCCAAATGCTACAGTTTATTTATAAAGTTAAGGAGACGGCTAAAGCAATTCTCTTCCGAGGAGGAGAAAATTAAAGGCGACAAAGCCAGAATTGTCCGCCACAAGAGGGATGAGTCCATACCCTACATCTTAGTCGTGAGAAAATAAACGGAAACTGAAAATATTTTATACTACAAAACACTTAGATACTTCGGAATGCCTCAACTCCCCTATTTAGCGAGAAAGACCGAAGATGTTCATGATTCAAAGTTATTAAAAATGTAACACCAAATTTCTTAAGTAAGGTCCAAAGTTATATGTGTAAGGCGATCTAGACAGATCTAAACAAAACAAAGCAGCTCAATAGGAGTATATTTTACTGCAAAGTAAAGCGCCTCGTCTAAGGGGTCTTTGAGCTAAAGGATGGCACATTTTGCCAAGGCAGTAGTAATGACCCCCATATTACACTTCATAAAACTGATGAACTCCAAACATCCGCTGCTAGTACGGCTCAGAGCTTTGCTTGGGCTTCAGTTGCCAGGTATAGGGATTGCAGTCATTGCCCAAAGGCAGCGTATGGTTGCTACGAGTGTGTACGGGACCGTATGCGCTAAGGTCCCAGCAAGGACATTTTGGAAAATGCACATCCGTATTGAGGAATACCATCGGCTTCTTTTTTGCCTTCGCTCCGGATATGCGAGACATTCTAAGAATATTCGAGGTTAGTCTTGAGGAATAGAAGGCTACCCGTGCATCTTACGTGTTTCTCGATTGATAATATTGCGGCCAAACGGAATTCTGATTGTTGTACATGATTTTTTTTTTTTTGTTTACTGCAAATTTAGGTATTTTTGCTTACAATTTTAATATTAGAAAGACAGCAAGTCGTAACTGCTTTCTAACTACAACCAAAATGTTTTGTTCACCTCTGTGGCAAATGTCTTATGAGTAAAAACATTAGGCCTACTGTTGAGTTTCACGTAATTACAGCTCTGTCAGTTCTTCACTCAACCAACTCGCCAATGTTTGCCATTTACAGTTCGTTCATAAATGTTAGGGGCTGAATTGTTCATGACAAGAATCCTGTTCGTCTAATGTGGATGTCACTTTTACTTTTAAGGCAACATCAAATGGGTTGACTAAGGATTCCATCTATTCCGGCTAAAATTCATTTTAATTCATTTCGAGAACCATTTCCACGAACTCTGTTTTCCCTCTTTCAAGTTATTTTTATCAATTTGTATTTATCAATAGCGCCAAATTTACCGCAAAATCAACTGAAATTTTACAGTACCAATGCATTAAATATTATTCCTAGAAATCAATGATGGAGTTTCAAGAAAAGGCAAATTTAATTTTATTCAAAAGAAGGGAAAGTTCACTGCCTCACAATGTTGCCATTTGAATATAATAATTACGTGCAAGTTTCCATCAATCACACCCGGGTCAAAGGCTTACAAAATCGATTGATATGCAACATCACAAGTAATCATCAACACACACACTTTATATAACCAATTCAGTCATAAATACTTGATTCAAATGAAGCAAATGCAAGGAATATAGGATTATACTCGTATATACAAGTAGCTAAAGGCCCGAGAACCGATGCTTAGCTTGTAGCCTAAAAGTTTGTGTTAACTTATTCATAAAAATATTTCATGAATGAAATACATAATTTCACTAAGACTAAAACTATGGAAACCAAATTTTTTTTGCAATTAAAATAAATTAAAATTAAATTAAAAATAATGGCATATTGACCTATTCTTAACCCTTTATAAATGTCAATAAATACATACAAGTATATTTAAATGTCAATAGAAGTTACTTAGAAGCGAACGCAAGTGCAAAAATTTCAAATAGAGCGAAAAGTCCCTGAATTCGAACAAGAAAATACTTACAGGAAAGTTTTGCAATTGGGCCAATTAAGAAATTGTTCAATTATTTGAGGTATTTATATAGGAAATATAAACGGTTACGAGTATCATTCAGAAATTCGGCGCCTATGGTTACTTCCACTGAAATTAATTCTATAATAAAATACAGTAGAACTGCTTGGAAATAAACTTTGCAAACCTTTTGTGTAAATCAAATTATCTGCATAACAAAACTTTGCTTATTGAAAGTATATTACTAAAGGCCTTAGATTTTGCAACAAAGTGGGCTCCTATATTGCAGAGTGTGTTAGGCGTTTCATTAATTTGATTTCACACGTACTATATTGTACGAACATATTTAAAATTTGTTGATGTAAATTTGCATGAGAAGGTAATGTGAGCAACAGAGGCTTCTGTGTGAATATATTTCATTTAACAGTTTATGAACGTTTATGCCGAATTATGCCGCATTTGAAACATCTGTACATACACACATACATGTGTAATTGGCCACTTTATTTATTATTGAGACGCGAATGCGCGTTCAATGGAATTTCGACAATAAACATTAATGCTGCAAACGTATGACAAATAATTTATAAAATTTGTTTGCTCACTCAAACATTATCGATGGAAGGAATTTAATTGCACAAATTGATGATGTTAATTGCACAAATCACATCCAGCACACTCACACACGCAGCTACATTGTGACACACACACAGACACACATTTTGTGATGAAGAAAAAGAACAATATTTAATTGAAAACAAACATGGCAAACAAACAATAAAAATTCATAAAGAAGCTTAATGTGTTATGAATTCGTATTCATATGAACGTACCATGTATACATATGTACATATGCATGTAGATATGTATGTACGTTTTTAGGTAATGTAGACGCGAGGTGTTTGTGTGTAAAATAATAACATTTTTTATTGTTGTGCAAAACTGCAGCACTCCGAGCACGTATATGGGCGAAAGAACGCGCGCGCCCGTTTTGAATTACACCAAATTGGCCAATCAGAAAAGTTGCTTTTGTAACGGTCACTAATTTTTGAATTTGACTGTCAACAGCAACAGCAGCGAACGTGCAACATTATGGACGCCAACTGGCTTGACATCGTGTTGCAGAACGAGGATCAGGAGGGTCGACTGTGGCTCGCACGCCTAAATATTCGTCACTTGCACTCACACACACTTACATAGATTTAACGCGTTCGCCGCTCACCCACAGACTGCACAGTGGGCTCAAATATGTTGTGGTAGCTTACTGAGTGTACCGTTATGCACAGCGACGTCAACGTTGCATGCGTTGTTGCACAACCGTCGCGACAGCATTTTCAACACAAACTGACTGCCAGATAGAACCAACTGTCGTGCTTATGCCAATCGGGAACGAAATGGCAATGGAACACACTTTTCCAATAAGCCAAGCAGTAGCAGCGGCAGCGGCAGTGGCAGCAGCAACAGTTTCTCTCTGCCGCTGTCGACAGAGCTGTCGCCGGCTGCCTGCTCCATTCACAAATGGTATGGAATGGTTTTTTTTTTTGCATTGGCTTTGTTTTGGTTTTGGCTTTCGCTGCAATTATTGCATAAAAATGCCATGCGAGCAATATCGCCTAAAACATACATACAAGTACATATATTACCGAAAGTATATTAATATGACTATTTGAGAGCGCACAAAATGATTTAGCAGCCGTCCAAATGGGCCACCTTAAATTAATGGATTAATTTAAATGTCCATGTTACTTAGAAAAAAGTGCTAAAATAATCCGATTGGTTTATAATTAATTTAGCTGTAATTCACAATCAATGTTGAACAAATATTGAATATGGAAGGTATTTAGTAGTCAAAAGCAATAAATTGATTGCATTACATTTTGAGGCATAATTATTTAAATATCTGCATACATATCAATAATTATAATTATCACAAGGTAGGGAATTGTTCCAACCACGAGTATGTGAAGAATTGTTGACCAACATGTAACTGATGACAAATACAAATAATAAACCTTGGTGAAAATACTTCAAAGGCACGAAATGAATCGTACAAAAATGGAAGAAAGAAAAAAAGTAGTTAAACAATATGGCATATGCTTTCAATAAAGCAATGCTTTCAAATGTGTGTCTAAATGATAGACAAGAGCACCACAGATCAAAACCTTTTGAATACACCGATTGTTGATTCAATCCTAAATAAGTGCTAATTAAAACTTCTCATCTTGCATATGTTAAACCCATGCTATTAGTTATAATAACCATTCGATATTTATTTCGTTTCTTTGTGTAATAGCATTGCTTCTTTCCAAAATCCAACCTTGGCCAATTAGATGTCGTGTACATTCTTAACATTTTCAGATGCAGGGCCGCAGGCGGCCGCTGATCAAATAACTTTCAATTGACCGCCTTTCCCCAAACTCGCTTCAGAGCGGGGACTTTTGACAAACTCGTCAGAGCAGACAATCCTGCATAATAATTTGGTGTGGAAAGGAATTTGGATTGGCCTTCTTCCCGGCCGAGAGTAAGGGAAAATAAAAGAAGTGCAGCAAATGGCATGCGAAAATTTGCGAATTGAATATGAAAATGTGTTGGGTTTTCCGTTTTGGTGCCTCTCTGCAACACTGATTGCTTCATTTTGACAAAATATACTTTTATTTTTTAAGGGATTTTTTTCTTACGAAGCGCTCTCGAATTCTTTGATTGCCCTTGGCGGGCAGTGCTTTTTCGAGAGTTGGCTTATGATGTGATTGTTCGGCCAAAACGAGTTGAGTGGCTTGGTGCCTACACAATTGGATATACTTACTCGTTTATAAGCATTTCAAAAGAATTCGAAGCCCCTTTAGAATTTAAGCTCTGATACTCAATTGAAAAATCTCACTCAGGCATAAACTTGCACGTTCATTGGCCTTTGCCTTTGGGCGTATTGTTAATAATGATAAATGGAAATCCAACCCTACGCCCAACCGCACCTCCCAGGCACACCCACTCATTGTGTTTGGCGCAAATTCATGTCTAATTAGGATAAACAGCTGTTGCCAAAATTAATTACATATCATGAGCACAAAAGTACACATACACACACACGCAACACACACACTTATTTCCACACAGTTGTCGCTTAGCTCGACAGCACCAAGCCATTTGCTTTGGCAGTTGACGGTGCGGAAGGAAAAGCATTCAACACACGCACGAATACAAAATCATACATATACTTGTACATTTATATACATTTGTTGACTGATCAAAATGGAGGCCACGATATTTTTATTTACTGCATAATGCGCTTTAGGTACGCGGGCAGGTTAAAAGCAGCCGACCCCTCAAAGGCAAAATACATTTTTAAAAATCGTTACTTTTTTACCTGTGAGTATTTTTTAATTGTATGGGCTACCTTTTATGTTCAGTGAAATGCAATACGAGTATTTAATTTATATTTTTTAGAGCGTCAACCCATTGTTGGCCAACAAATCATGACACAAACCACTTGTAAAAGAGTAAGACATCGCTTTATTAATATCAGTTAAACGAACGAATCAAATCAATAAATAAAAAAGTGCTTAAATGTAATTTAATAGCTTATCATCATTAAATGGAAAATTAACCAGAAATAAGCTTTGAAAAGGTACACTCAGTAATATTTTGCCCATGACATCAATATATTTGCGGCTCCAACCTTGAATAGTCACTGTAGTTTTTATTAGGTGGAAAGTACAGCAATACAGGAGGCAGACCGCTTAATGCACTTGAACCGAAAACAAACAACTCCAGAATCATCAGTGATTGTGCAAGTCAGTGCTAACATCATATTGGTACAGTAACAGCAATGCATGGAGGGGATTTCCATTACAGGTGATCTAGCAAGAGAAAGAACTACAACACACATCGCTCCTGACAAGGACAGAATCAGTGTGCTGCTGGTCATTCAAGTATCTGACGCACAACCAGGCACGGCACAACACAGCGTAGCTAGGAAATTCCAAATCTGTGTTCGAAGGAGCAAAGCTATTAAAACTATTGAGGAATTATTATGACAGTCGTAGTATTGTAGTTTCTCAGAGTGAAAATTGTTATTTATTTTGGAAGATTGGAAGCTTTAGTTCAAACTGTGCAGTTTTCACATTATGTATGCCGTTGTACATAATAATACATGTATATTATATGCACATATTCTGTTGCAATCTGTATGCTGTGTGAGTAGCTATCAGCTTCTATTGAAAATGTGCGGTTGCATTTGCCTTTCACATACAAAATTAAAGGCGCTCGTGTACGTGGTTCTCGACAAAACCGCATTTAAAACTAAAGAGCTTTACGAACTCGGAAATGAAAAGGAATTTCGTAAAATGCACACAATGCTGGGCACATGTGCTCGCTTAAAGCCACATTTATGTTCAGGTACGTAAATGGAAGGAACTCCTACAATAATACCACAGACGGTCTTAAAGCCAACCATTACATTTTGATTGTACTTAGTGGCCAAAGCTGGTGCTCAAATACACATACGCAGACACGCAGACATCTTGTGCAATAAATTTTCGGATAATATCTTTTTGGCCGTAATTCGTAGCCACATTTAACTGCCTTGACGAAAGTGCCGCACTGCTAGCCCCTAAAAGCAAATCAAATGCGAAATGTTTAACCATTAAAAATAAAAGTGCTACCCGCCTCTCACACTTCCTTTTCTCTTTCGGCTCGTCCTACTGGACAGAGCAGAGCAGATATTAAAATTGTGTAATCAGCTTTGTGCAAATTGAGCAAAAAAATCGGCAGATAAGTTGATTATGGCTTGCAATTCCAGGAAGGTGGGTGGCCCGGCGCAATCTCAGGCCAATTGTTCTCATTGTGAGGGTCGCTCAGCAACAAAGCAAAACTTACAACTTAGTTTTCCGACGCGTCGGAGAGGCCGATAGGGGGAGGACTGCGCAGCAAAGTTTGTGCAAATATTGCGACAGCATTTGAAAAAGGAAAATCTTTGGTAAGGTTGAACAACCACCCTAAGAAGTGGTCGCAGCACTCCAACGGCGAGGTTGTAGTGGCTGGCACTCTCTTCATATCCAACATAAAATATGCAAAGCTGCACTTTCTTGCACCTGCCAACAGGGGCGGTGGAAAAGGAAAACTCTGCAAATTTCTTCTTTGGCTAGCAACTCAGCGTCAGAGTGGATTTTCATTGTGACTATGCAAATTTGTGAGTTAGCGGCAATAGATACGTGCTTAGTAGAAAATGCTGCTCGAAAGTGCATATTATTAATATCAAATGGCTGCACACAGAGAGTTTCAAAGTGTGGCTAACAAATTACTACGCTCACTTGGAATCTGCATGCATGTAAGAAACTCCTCCTAAACAAGCACCAACATAAAGTGTAAATTAAATAAATAAATAAATTGTAAATTATTTATGAACTATCTCTATTGGTATTTAATTATTTATATTTTTCATCGACAAGCAATGCAGTCGATGTAAAAGATAAAATATATAAATATATGTATTTACATTTACATCAGAATCGTGCCTTATGCGTGTTTGTGTACTTGTACATATGTATGTATGTGTGCATTGGGCCTGGTTATGTGGTTATAACTTTCTTTCCGATCATTCTATTATAATGAGACTTGGTATACGGCTATATAATCACTAACCTAATGTGACTACCAAATTTTAGTTCAAAATTCCAAGAATTACGGGAGTTATAGAAAATCGTTAATAGGGGGGGAGTGGGGGGCTGTATCAGAAAAAATAAACAAACTCGATCTGCCTAGGGCTTATAGGAACCTTGATACCAATTTTAGTTATCCTAGCTCTTGTACTTACTGAGATCCTTGCGCTCATAGAGACAGACAGACAGACAGACAGACGGACATGGCTATATCGACTCGTCTTGTCATCCTGATCAAAAATATATATACTTTGTGGGATCTACCACGCCTCCTTCTGCCTGTTACATACATTCGCACAAAACTAGTATACCCTTTCACCCTTTGGGTACAGGGTATAAAAATTACTTTTAAAAATGTTAAATAATTTTTAATTCATTAACATTTCTTGCTCTGTCAGTGCAAGACGAATGAACATACACACATGCATTCATACATAGATGTGTACATATGTATGTGTGTACATTCACACATTAGTGTCTCACATTTTGCTTTGGCTATTTCAATCATTTGCACGCAACTACACGAGCTGCTTGTATGTGTCTGTGTATGTATACTTAGTTATGCCCAACTGTTTGATATTTTGTATTGTTTGTTCTGCCTGCATTTGTAGAATG